GAAAAGATAAAAAACTATATTGAAGAAGCGAATTCAAACAATTCTTTCCTTGTCAACAAAAGTAGTTTAGAAAAAGGACAAATAATAGCAAAATTGCGTGAAATTGATAGTAGACAAGTCGCGGAAACTGTGACAAAAGGATTGGACGCCGCAGCTTCCCTTGCTACTTTAGGCGGACCACCTGGTTTGGCAGTCAGTTTGGTGCTTGGCGTTATTTCTGGTTCAATTAAGATTTGACTACAATAAGCAAACTAGTATTTTAGTTCATTAAAAGCGAATGCTTAAGTCAGGGTAACATAATCTATTTCCTTAAGCCTTTTTTGTGTAGTCCTCTTACAACTGGTTTTTTTGTTAACCATTCTCTTTTAAATATTTCTCTTTCAACTCCTCCCGTTCCTTCTCAAAGCTAAACTCTCCTAACTCAATATTTTCCATACTCCCACTATATTTCTCCCTCACCCTCTTCATAATCCCCACTACACAAAGTCCACACTCCCATCCATTATTTTGCTTTATTTTATGTTTGGCTATAAAGTGCTTATCCCACTCATGTCTAGGCACTTGTAATTCCCCCAATAACTTATACACCGAATCTTTAACATACCTCCAATTAGCCCCTCTCAGAGTATCCCAATGATAAAAGCCTTTACTTTTAGTTTCATAAACCAACAAGCTCCAATGGAAATTAGGATTGTTTACTGGAATAAAAATTAGTTCCTTGTTAGGGTCATTTATCTGGTTTAATAATTCTTTGAAGGCTAAATCTGCTCCCGCCTCTTTTTTATTAGTAATCTCCCTCACATAACAAAACTGATGAGCAGGTAAAGTCTTGAACTTACTAGGAGTTTCTTGGCCCGGAAAAGAACCGGGCATTTTATTCTCTTTCTCCATCTTCCCACAAACTCAATCAATCTCTTTATCCGTCAACCATCTCCCTTCTTTAAATCATTCTTTATTTTGCTCGGCTTCACTCTCCCTTCTCGCTCTTGCTTTTTCCTCTTCCCATAATAATTCTTCCTGGGAAGGCTTGCTTTTCTCTTTTTTAGGAGGAGTAAAAAAGAAAACAATTCCTAACAGCAATAAAACTACAATTAAAAGCAAAAATAAAGTCCCGATCATAATTATTCTGATAATTTACTCCAAATTCAGCCTAAAACAATTAACACCAAGGCAATGCCTACTGTATAAAGAAGTGGTTGCTTAATGGTTTGTCAAAAACTTTTTCCAGTAGTTACTTCTTGGGTTTTGGCTTGCTTTTTTTCCAATTCTTTAATTTTCCCTGCCAACTCCTCCTCCCGTTTTCTAGCGTTAGTTAATTCACTCTGCAACCTTTTTATCTCACTTTGGGATTTGCTTTTCTCGCTGGCTTGTTGTTGTTTAGCTTGGTTCAGCTCTTTTTTCAACTTTTCCAACTCATCTGAATTATCCCCCTTACTTTCCAACTCCCCAATTCTTGCCTCCAATTGCCCTATTTTAGAATTAGCCGCCAATAAAGTTGCTTCTAGTTCTTGGATTTTACTACTTGCTAAAGATAATTCCTCACTAATGAGATTTTTCTCTTTTTCCAATTGCTCCAATTGTTTTTCTTTTTGCTGAATAATCCCTTGTGCCTTTTTCAAATTCTCTTCCGCAATTCTTAAAAGATTTTGATAATTAGTTAACTGGTTAGTTTGTTGGTTAATTTTCTCATTTTGTTCTCTAATTAAATTACTCCTAATCTCAGCTTCTAATCTCTTT